TTCATGACATAAATTGTTCCAAATCAAATAATTAGGGGGGGTGTTTAGTGGTACACTTCCAATGATTTCAAAAGCTACAGTGTCAAGCATGGCATAAGGCATGAAAAGACAATATCATATATCCCAAGCATAATGGTGTAACTGAGAGAATGAATCACATCATTACAGAAAGAGTTGGGAGCAAGTTATCTGCCACCAAGTTACAAAAGTCGTATTGGGTTGAAGCAGTCCTCACAGTATGCTACCTAATAATTGATCCCCATCATTTTCTTTGGATGGTGAAATCCTATAAAGAGTTTGGACCGAAAGAGATATATCTTATTGACACTTGAGGATGTTTAGATGCAAGGCATTGGCGCACGGGCCCAAGGAACAAAGATCCAAGTAGGATGAGAGAGCACTCATGCATCTTCTTAGAGTACTCAGATGAAGAGTTCGGTTATAGGCTATGAGATCATGAGAATAAGAAGGTGATTAGGAGTAGGGATGTGGTTTTTTTTGGAAGACCTTATCATTCTGATGTGAAGAAGTTAGAAAAGCCACAAATCTTCAATAGTTCAAAACCGGGTATAGTTCCTCACACCGTGGTACATGAAGATGGGGGAAAAGTTTGTAAAGAAGATGGGTTCCAAGAGTTTGACATACCAGTTCCAATTGAAGTAGAGTAGGAAAGCAGCATGTTCAAGAAGTGCTACCTTCATATGAACATAGAAGGTCTTCTAGGGGACATAAATCCTCTACTAGATACCCTGCATCAGATTATGTCCTATACACTGAAGAGAGTGGACCATAAACCTACCTAAAAGTCCAAGCCGACAAACACAAATAGGTGTGGATTAGAGCTATGTAAGAAGATAATGATTCCTTACATAAGAATCACACCTATGACATGATAAAGTTACCTAAAGGCAAGATGACATGGGAATTAAGTGTCAAGCAAAGCCCTTCAACTGAAAAGAAGAAGGAAGAAATGCAAAAAGTTCCTTATGGGTAGGCCATAATAAGTTTAATGCATGCCACGAAGTGCATAAGGCCAAATATCGCACACACAGTTGGCGTAGTGAGCAGATTTATCGCTAATCCTGATAAGGAACACTTTGCCGCAGTCAATTGGATATTCAGATATCTCAGAGGAATATGCAAAATAAATTTAAGCTTTGGGGGAGGAAAACACATGTTACAATGACACAGAGACGAATACATAGTTGGAAAACTAGACTCCAGGAAGCCAATCTCATAATATTTGCTTACTTTTATAGGGCGCAGTTTTATGGCAGTTCAAGCTGAAAAGGGGTGAGAAACTGTTGCAACTAGGAAAAATCCATACCAACAAAGGTACATCTAATATGATGACAAAGACCTTGATCAGAGACAAGCAAGAGTTATGTAGAAGCGCGCATGACATGGGTTCCATGTAAGTAGCGGTTGATTTGTGACAGCAAACCTCCCTTCTAGGACTGGAGGGGGAGATTGTTAGGTGTCACGTCCCATGAGGAAGGGGCACCGATGATAATCCCATTAAAGGGGTATTAAGTTATAACAACCCATCGTTATAAGTGGATAACTACTCATGTGAGTCGATTGTTATGAAATATTATCTCTAATCTCTTTAGAGAGAGAGGAGAGTGATCTATTTCTACAAAACATAAGATAAAAATGGCGTGAGATGAGGTAGATATTTTTAAGAAGCAAAATCTCATCCTTTATAAAAAGGGGAAAGCCTAATGTTGACTGTTATCTCTCTCTAATATTTTAGTAAGTGCCTCTTCTTTGAGCATACATAACTTAGTATATTAGAAAAACTTTCTATCTTCCCCCTACAATATAGAAGTTCTATGTTCCCCCTTATCCAACTTTCCATTTTTTAATGGAAGGCTAAGATTGTCCCAATCACAATGTCACGTCTCTATATTGTTTTATTTTTAATTTTTTTTCTATAAAATTTTTTGACATTAAATTTTGGATGTCCATTCCTATATTAAATTTACACTAACAAAAAATATAAAAAATATATTTTCAATAAATAAAATGATCAAAAATACCCTTGAAAGTTTCAAGGGGTATTTTGGTCATTATTTTTTATCGAAAAATTATTGTTAATATTTTTTATAGGTGCGCCCCAAAGAGAAGATGGCACGTACCAAATTTTATATTCTAAAAAATTTTATTAAAAAAATTAAAAATAAAATACTTTCAAACGTCGGATCTAAGATCAAACGGTGAGTGGCTCTCCTGATAAAAAATGGACGGCTGGATGATAGGGGGAACATAGAACTTCTATGTTCTAGGGGAACATAGAGAGCTTTCCCTTAGAAAAATACAGAGTGCCTTCTTTGAGAAAGAAAAGGAAGAGAAAGAAAGTTACCCTTCATCTTAAAGAGAGAAGAAGAAGAGAAAGAAGCATGTTAGAGAGAGAAAGAACATTTTCTTTCATAGAAAGAGAAAGCCTCTAGAAAAGAAAAGAAGCATCAGAGAGATAGAAGAACCTCAACATCTAAAGGGAGAAAACCTTTTAGAAGAAATCAGAGAGTCCAACAAAACTTTTTTCTTGAAAGAATTTTGTAACTATTATTTTAATACTAGATCTGTCTCTTTCTCCCGTAGACACGGCCTACAAAAGTGAGCTACATAAATCTCGGTACTTGTAGATTTTGTTGGCTTTATTGCATGTTTTTCCGCTCATACACACATGCATACCATTTTGGTCTATTTTGTACCGCATAAATCTGGGTTCCATTGCCCACATTCGCATTCGTGCCAGAGGACTTGAACGGGTGAGCCCAACACTCCTACCACCAAGCAAAGTTCCTAGTACCCTTCCTTAAACTAGACCACACCAAGAGGCCAAACCGGTTCATAGGTTTAGTTTTCTAGTTTAGTTCTATCTATTTGCTCATTTCTAATTATACCAGAAAAAATATTCAGAATATTACAATCATCATCACCATCCAAGCCCTGCTCAATTCTTTAGGTTTGGCTACATGAGTCGTGCTCCTCCATTCTTCTCTATTAAATGTCATATTGTCAGCATGAGCAAAAGTGACCATAATTTTTCCCATTACACCTATCCATGTCCTTTTGTGCCTTCTTTTTTACCTTTTAGAGCCTTCTACTTGAACCAAATCACACATCCTAACTGGTATTGTATTACGACTACACTGCATATAGCCAGCTCACCTAAATCTACTTTTCTTCATCGTATTGCTTATTGAGGCCACATCGAAATTCCCTCATATATATTCATTCTAAATTCTATACCATTTTACAATATTTAAAATACCAAAAGAAAAACCGATAAGAAACAAAAATGCTGTAAGATCAAATTCTTCTTGAAAGAAGCATTCCAGTCAAAAGCAAAAAATCGATAAGAAACAAAAATGCTCTAAGATCAAATTCTTCTTGAAAGAAGCATTCCAGTCAAAAGCACTAATGAACAGTTGTCATGAGCTCAAATTGTTAACACAGTCAAAAGAACTAATGCACAGTCATCATGAGCTCAAATTGTTAACATAGTCAAAAGCACTAATTCACAGTTGTCATGAGCTCAAATTGTTAACATCAATGTGCAAGCCAAAATGCTCGTTGACTAGTGTTTCCTGTCATCCATTAGGGTTATTAATAAGGGAGAATTATAGATGCCCCTTAAGATCCAACTTTAAAGGCATGCTCACCCCACAACACTTTTTAAATTAACTCACGGACTCTAACACTATTTATTTTTGCACCCATCCCCTTAAATTAAAAGGTGAATGTTTGTGGATGAAAATGCCCCTCTATGCCCACAATTTTTTGTACCCACACCCGTTCTTTTGTTTAAAATGAAGCCGATTTCACATATAGTGTGCCAAACTTGCTCATTGTCCTATTGAAGCCAGTCCAACACAATCCGACACATATTGTACCAAACCGTCTATTTTAAACAATAAAACTGGTCCTGTACATAATGTATAGAACCAAATTTTGTCGATGTTTGCCAAACCGAATAGATCTTTTTATTTTCCTTAGAGAGGAGGTGCAAAAAATGAGGGTAGAGAAGGAAGATTTTCTTCCCTTAAATAATTACGGTTTCACTTTGGGAAATGGGTTAAAAATAAAGTGTTAGGATACGCAGTGTGCTTTACAAAGTGTTGGGAGTGGTCGTATGCCTAGAACTTGGGTCAAAGAGGTCTCTATAGTAGAGAAGATTATTCCTTTTTTTTCCTTCCAATGATAGGCAAATCTATTGTTGCTCTCAGAAATTTAAAATTCTAGAAATAATGATGATCAAACAGATCTACACCTCCATGAAAATCTTGAAATGGACAGTCCAGATAATGTATTAGAAGACAACTTATATTTTGGACTAAAAATCCATTCTTTTTCATAGATATGAATCTCAAAGTCGAGATGATCAATTTGCAGGTTTTCTAGCATAAGAATAATCTTCTCTAGTAGGTTCTTTAGGTGCACCTTACTCGTGCAATATAAGGTTCACACTTGACAAACTTTTTTTCAAATTTAATTGGAAGAATGTTTTGATCCTAAGAAGTTGAATCAAGCACCCGTACAGGGAAGGCAATAATGTGGTGGATATACTACCACGCTTTAAAATTGGATCACTCAGAGACATCGATAGCCAAACCACATGTACCGAGGAAAGCTAAATATACAGATTTTGTGTCAATACGCCACAGATTTGAATAGTACAAATACGCCACAGATTTCAATAGTACAAAAGTTAACAGTGGGACAAATATCTTGACATATTAATTGATGCTGGAAGTCAAGAAATACAAGTCAATCTGTAGATGCCTACAAAAACAGATGAACTTCAAATGGAAATAGTGGTTTAGACTGCAACCAGTAAGGGGGTGCTATAAGATTCCAACAACATAAAAACAATATGAGAAATCACCATTAAGACCACGAGCCTATATTTCACTCTAAATAGAAGTTCAGAATTGCAATGGAACCATTCAACATAAATAATTAAAATCATATACACCGATATAAGAATCATAAAAGTAAAATGATGTAACAGGACCTTCTTCATAGCCAATGAGGATACTACATAACAGTTCATGAACTAAACTGAATTTGAAGGAACCAAATTGAAATTTCTCCATGACAAAACAAAATATATTGAATACAAATTTGCTTCTGACAGTGAAGACAGCAATCGCTGCCAACCCTCTTTCATGAGAATCATCACACAAAAAGGATATCCATCAACTGACAATCACTAAACCAAGTCAGAAGCAGAACACGAATCAGTTCTGTAAAATTTGTTTCAATGTAGAAAGGCCTGCTTGTCCTAATACTCCATCCGCAATCGAGTGCAGAGACAAATGGCCAGCTCATGGCTTGACAGCATGTACACCCCCAAGTGCCCAATTATTAATTACTCCAGTCAATCTACACTCCAAAAATGAAGAGAAACAGTACCCTGGCAAAGGATAATTGCTTTCCATATAAACGTCTAGGAGCGTAGAAGTAGATGTTCTCTACATTTTGAAACTAAAACTAGAAGATAAGCATATTGTTTTAAAGACCTGCAATGAATTTATCATCTCTCTTGCTTTGTAGATACCACAGAAAGTTGTGACTCTGCTTGTTGTGAATCATGCTTTCTTTTATTGTGGGAGACTCTTCTTGACCTGGAAACCCTTCCAGCTTTTGTGTGATGCTTCTCAGCATGGTCTCTGATCCCACTTTCTCTCTCGCTCGATAGAAGTTCAGGGGGTGCATCAGGCCACGGTGTGCGTTTTGCAGGAACAACAATCTCCAATGGAGGGTCTATGATCCACCTGTATAAATAAAATGCCCTATGTCACAAAGAAGGAAATAGCAGACAACATTTCATAGCATTCCTATTCCTGAATTCACTAAAAGTGTTCCTGAATTGAAAACAGAGCAAAATGAACATATCATCATGTAAGAAAAATGGTAGAACTCTCACAATTTCCATATTAGCATGGAAATGCAATAATAAATTGCATGCAAGCAGCTATATGCAAGATAGGCCTAGTAATTTGCATGTAGATTATTTCAAATACTAGAGATGAAATCGATTAAATTCAGTTGCATGTAATCACCATACAGAATTATTAACACAGAAATTACAAAGTCTGTGGAACCCCATCTATACAGCTTGGAGAAACTTCTTTGAACTTTCAATGCAAGAGAAATTCACGCACTCCCAAGGGAACATCCATGAAAAAAAAGGATCTACGTAATTTCTGGCCTATTAAAAACAAAATCAAACATGAACAACTAGAAGATAAGCAAAGACAAACATGACTTCCAAAGTTGGGGAAGAGAATTTCAATATAGGGTCAAAAATAAGGGACAATGGATTAGGTGAACAGGCTGGAAGATGACTTTCAATGCAATCAATCAGATGTGCAAGAGGAGAGTTTGGCAGAGGATCAGTTAGCACCCTAAACAATAAAAGAACTGTGCATCCCGCTCCAAGGTTTTGTAACTGTAGAAAATTCATACCCCATTCTTCTGAAGGAAAGATATTTAAGACTGAGCATTGCATGGGTCGTTTTTTGCAGTGTAGGCTGTAGAAAAATTCTACCTTATTCTTCCAGAGGGAAGGCATTTAGGAGTGAGCATTATATGTGTTCTTCTTTGCATTGAAGACCTGGTAGAGCTGTGGATCGACAAAGGCTCCAATTCTAGCATATACTGAGACAGCATTACAGCAATACCACTCACTAGGCCAGTCCCATCTCAGGATGACATTGCGCTAAATATTTGTAACACTTTGCAAAAGGCTAACTATTAAAACTGGAGACTCGAAATGTCATTGGATGTTGGTTCTTTAGTTCAAACTTAAGATGATAAAGGGGACTATGCAAGTACAATTTATTGTGACCACTGCCTTAACTTATTTGGAAACCATTGCAAGGTAAGATTTCTCATCAGAGAAATATCAAAATTTCTTGGTTTTCAGTATTAGGTTTTGAAATTTGAGTACTTCTGCTCCCACTACCATGAGTAACACTTGATATATTGGCCACTTCCCATTTTGTAGCTTTAAATACTCGGGAATGAAAAATCAAAATTTCTCAGTTTTCAGTTTTAGGTTTTGAAATTTGAGTACTTCTGCTCCCACTACCATGAGTACAATTGATGCCACTTCCCATTTTGTAGCTTTAAATACTCGGGAGTTATTCTACTTAGAGCAAAGCTTTGTTAGATATTCATTTGAGCAAGATCAGAGAAGATCTGATTTCCTCAATCTCTTTTACTAGTCTCGAATAATTCATAACTTCAAAGCAAACATCTTATTGGCTCCTTGGGCTATCATTTAAATCCAATTAACCAGATTTGAAGAAATTGAATCCAAAGCAGGACAAACAGAAGAAATTTAGAGTTTATGTTACGAATTCTTTGGTCAAAGAAACTATGATGCAAGCCTCAGACTGGGACTAACAATAAAAAGCAATATTGAACTTCATAAATTGATTATGCAGTTCAGGCCTTCTTGCAAATGCATAAAAATTAAAAAGGGGAAGCGAAACTTATCTGTCACTGAATATGACCATGAATTAACAAAAATAATAAAGAAGATTTTACATCAAGCAACACCTTTTTTTGTTTCAAAACATGCATCAAAACAAAGATCTCAGATTGGAATCATATTTCATAAAATTAGAGTAAAGAATAGTTTTCTTTATACAGAAGAAATATAGAGAATTGGGGTCAAGCATAATGAACATAGTCACAAACGAGTTGTGGAAATGTATCAATATACAAACAGCCAAATCCACGAACATTGAGTGAAGTAGAGATATTGTTATTAGATATCTGATCATGTTGTCGTCCTATGCTAGCATCCTGAGTTCTGGGAAAAGCAGTATCAAGTACCAAGCTATGCGCAGATCCATGGACCAGCATTATCATTTATAGAAAATTAATATGAAATAGAATCAATCTCCCTATTGTCATCAAGAGCAGGGGATTGAGATGCTACAGCAAAGACCGCCTAGTTGACAACTTTGGAATAAGGAGAGCTGTCATGAGTACATTTGATGTCCATCCAAACATCATTAACATCAGAACTAGAATAGGCTACTGAGAACATTAGTGACACTGACGACAGACTTGATGCAAAACGGGGCTTTGCATTTTCATCTTCCTCTCAGATATGTAAGGAGCACTGTCAGTCTATTGCATCTACAAGAAAGAGAGACTAGAGAGACAACAATGGCACCCCAACTGAACATAAGTACATATGAAACTAAAAGCTAGTTACTCATACAATATTTTCACTGCCATTAGATGGGAAAAACCATCACGAAAGCATTAGCTAGATTAAGATCCGTAGGCAGAAGACATGCTCAATGGGCAATTGGCAGCTCTGATTACTGCTGAGACCTTACTTTTCCTTCTTTACACTACCCAGAAATTGGTTCAATCATTTCAGCCATTTCTGGTAAGACTTCTACTTTATCATTTGAGTTATTTACAAATCATATAAATGGTGATTTGTCTTGTCATGCTATTAAGTGCTCACCTGATGGTTACAGCGTTGACAACTCCCAGCCAACATACCAGGTTCACATCCCACCACTGACCTACCCAAAAAGCAGTGCTTGTATGCCGATATTGGATCATAGGTTCATGGAAACAACAAATGCGGTGTTTCCTCAACAATTCATTAAAGCAACAGGACAATGGACTTAACAAGGAAGGCCTTTCATAGTTGAGAGAATTTAATACTCAAAATATCACCATCAAAATCAATATGGCAAATATACTGTTGATTTATCTTCTTTCTAGCAGGATAGATTGGAAACTTGGATTTTCTGATTATGAATAAGTCGGCGAAAATGAGCTCAATTCTTCATCTTGTAAGAGAGATACTTTTACACTAAAGCTTCAAGTATTCATACTCATAATTGTTTTGATATTTGAAGGTCCATGGATCCAATGCTTAATATTATATGGTATTTGTGGATGAATTCTCTAATAGTCTGAACCAGTGGTTTAAAAAATGGATCGATGCCCCGGATCGGGCACCTCAAAAACCCATCCTGATCGGTGATTCGGCGATCCGGATCGGGAATCGGCCAAATCGGTCCTCTTAAGCCTTAACAAAAATCCAAAAAAATTATGAAAATTCATGATAAATGTTATTTTTTAAGAATCCAATAAGAAATTCGGGTATTACATTATTAACTTTCCTTTTTAATCAATTTGTGAATAATTAAGATGTTCTTTTCCCGTATGAACTTATGTTAACCATTAAATTTGCATCACATAAAACCAAAAACATAGAATTACCACGGATAAAATATATAATCATATATAGACTACAATAAATAATAGATTAAATCGATAAAAAATGGCCACTAAAATCTCGAATTGGAGGAAAAACCTAATCCACTAAAAAAACAAAAAAAACCAAATTGTTACAACCTAACTAACTATAATCCAAAATTATTACAACCTATCTAACTATAATATTATATATTGCAATGAAAATTGTTGGATTATATTTTATTATATAAATAATAGCAAATTTAAAATATTTTATAATATCATTTAATTTAAAATGTATTATTGACAACTGTAATAAAAATAATACATTACAAGATTTATAATGCAAATAAATAAATAAATAAATAAAATATTTGATTATCAATATATAAATTATTCGAATGCGCATCAATTTTCGAAATAACACTTCAAATTTTTTAAAATATAATTTTTTAGAATTCTAGAATAAATTTAATGGAAGAGATTGCTAGAGACAGAGAAACATTTCAAATGTGTATGAATCATATCTTAAAATTAATATTCCAAATTTATGTTAAAGCTTACCACATTATAAAAATAAAAATTATAATTAGATCAGTTATTCCTAGTTTGTATTAAAAAATATTTGTTGTATTAAGAAATATCTTTTATTTTTTTTGACAAGAAATAATTGTTGTATTTTTTTTTTTATGAGAAAATATGATATTTGTTGTATTCCTTTTTTCTTTTTTTGACAAGAAAAAAAAGATCTTATATTACCTTTTTTTTTTTTGCTTGTTGTATTACTTTTTATTTTTTTTATTTTTTTTATTTCCTTTATCATATTATTTTCTTTATTTTAGTTTTTTTTTTAAAACAAACCTATCTTCTTTTTTTTTCTTTTTTCTTTTTTTTTTTTTTTTTCTTGTTTTTTTTTTTATGAAGACAAATTTTAGTTTTTTTTTTAAGACAAAAGTAAAAACCTCTCTTCTTCTTTTTTTTATGATATTATTTTTAAAAAAAAAACATTATCATATTATTTTTTAAAAAAAAAATTATGAAGACAAAAAGTGAAATTTGCAAAATAGAGTCCCAACAGGGATTCGAACTTGGGACGTAATGCATAAAACCTCCTCTGTCAACCACGGCAGCCCTTCGCTCACTACTGAAGAGTTTTGTATACTATTTACCTATATTGTATGAATTTTCAATATAATATTGCTTAGCGCAAGTCCCACATCGAAGAATTGGAGAAAGTCTATAAGATATAAATACCTTTACAAAAGCTTTAATGTCAGCGCGATAGAGAGAAGGGGTAACCTGAAATGATATTTTGAAAAAAATTACCAAAATGTCCTCAGGTAAGGATTCGTCCTGTGACGTCACTAAGCGGCTGGAATCGCGATTTATGACGTAATAGGGGCGATTCACTGTTCAAAATCGCCGATTCTCCTCTGGGATCGGGCGATTCCCAGTTTGGCAGAAGAATTGACACGGGGTGCCCGATTTCCGTATCGACTCGGGCGAGTCCGTTGAGACTCGTCGATTTTTAAAA